GTAATCTCGCGAGACCACTTGAAGCTGCTTCGGTGCGTCACATATTTGCAATCAACAGAAGAATATATATTACCGGTGTTCTTGAGCGAAATTATTGTAACAACATTAAACAAACAATTCTGAAATAGATGTCGCGATGGGGTGGGTATGTTGCTCAGATGACCGACAAAAAATATTCTGCATCCAGCTTTTTTGAGTTCTTTAGAGTTCCTGTGTTCATGATTGCCTTTTAATCACGCTTACCAATTCATATTTTACCACCCATTTACGCAAACTTCGTTATGATCGATATTCGCTGCTTTCCCCTGTCATTTTTGTCTTCAACATGTGGCGCGTCCTGGGTATGACGATAAACTACATCCGCGTCCTGGGTATGAGGATAAATTACATCCGCGTGCTGGATATGAGGATAAATTACATCCGTGTACTGGGTATGGCGATAAACCACATCCACGTCCTGGGTATGACGATAAACTACATCCGCGTCCTGGGTATGACGATAAACTACATACGGCAGCAAGGCCTCTGATCAGAAGGTTTTGATGATCGTAAAACCACCTATTAATTGCTGGTGTCCCTAGTTCTACCTTGGCCCCGGGTTGTAGTACCTGTTAGGGTCCAAGCCGTAGACAAATAGGTAATCCCTAAATATGGGTCAAAACATTATGAAATACCTAATACCAGCAATACGTTTTTGAAAAAAATTATTACTAGCAATAGAGTTTTGAGAAAAAAATATTACCAGCAACAATTTTTTGAAAAAAAAAATGCCAGTAAAACATTTTTGTATTAAATAACCATTGCGATTGATATGACATAAAACAAAACAAAACTAACCAAATCAACATTTCGCGTGAGTGACAAATTTTCAAAACGCTCTTTTCTCATATTCATCCTCATAATTTCAAACGCTTTATTATCTATTGTAGAAGTTTTTGTTTTCTTTTTCCTTAAAATTTCCACGTTATTCGTGCGTCCGATTTATGGTATTCTTAGCATCCTTCTGTTGGACAATGTTTCTGCTGCCACAAGTTACTTCATCCTCTCTGACCAGATAGTCCAGCAATTTGCATTCGTACGAAGTAAAAGCAGTGTATCATAGATTATGTTAGAAAAGGATCACCGCTTCCACTTCTTACATAATGGACGGGAGAGTACCTGCGTCATATATATATATATATATATATATATATATATATATATATAGACATTTTTTAATGTTTATACGTTCTTTTTATAGATACAAATATTTAAGTAAATGCTCTGTTTATAATAAACAGTATTAAACAACATTAACCGGCCTGAATGTCATAGAAAACCGTCATTTAGCTTGACGTGCCTTAACCGATTTGGCTACAGAGGAGCGTTCGTTTAGCAAGGTCGATTTTACTGTCTTTAAATTACAATCTTGCATGAATCTCTCACGTACATTCATATCTGCTCATGGCGTATCCAAATGTAAACAAATGACATCACACATTATGAAATGGACAAAGTCCGACAATTATTTAAGATATTTTATGTTTATACATTCTTTTTATAGATACAAATATTTAAGTAAATGCTCTGTTTATAATAAACAGTATTAAACAACATTTACCGGTCTGAATGTCCGAGAAATTTTCACAGAAAATATTCGTCCTCCGACAGGACTCGAACCTGTATCCTATACGGAACCGTCATTTAGGTTGACGTGCCTTTAACCGATTGAGCGACAGAGGAGCGTATCGGTTAGCAAGGTCGAATTTAATGTTTTTAAACCACAATTCTCCAAGATTTTCTCTCATACATTCATATCTACTCGATGCGTATCCAAATGTGAACAAATGACGTCACACATTATGAAATGGACAAAGTCCGACAATTAGTTTAAGACATTTTCTATGTTTATATGTTCTTTTTATAGATACAAAATTTAAGTAAATGCTATGTTCATAATATATATATATATATATATATATATATATATATATATATATATACATACATATATATATATATATATATATAGGTAGTAATCCGTTGGTATAATCCGGGCGAGTCCTATTAACACAACATAGAGCTTGAAATATGTTAAAACTGACTCTCAAAAAAGTGCTCAATGTTTATTTTCATTAAACAGAGCATATTTGCTTTACAACTGAAATTAAGATACATTTAGTAAATGATCATTTTCACCTACGAATTTTAAAATTCGCAGGATTTTTCAAACTGATTCTGGTATCAGTTTGTAGCGTACTGTTTATTTGAAGAAAGAAAGATAGAGGGTGTTCTATTGGAAACCTATTGGGAGGTAAGTGGTGAAAAAGAAGTTATCTTTACTAAAATCATATTATGGTGGTAGGGGAGCCCAGGTAGAAGCAGGAAGGGGGAGATCGATGGGCTGACCTATATCATAATGGTCACACAGTCAAAATTCAATTCGACGGGAATTCAGGGAAATTAACGAACACTGGAAAGAACAATCAAGAGGTAACTTTGGTAAAATGAAAGAGAGTTAATTTGAGATTATTGGAATTAATCTCGTCCATGAATCAGAGTTCAAAGTTTTGGGGAGTGTTTTTAAGAATTTGGAATGAATTTGGATATATATGTGTAGAGGACCGCGTGGGTTTGAGTGTTGTTGTATTAGGAACACGTGCTGTTTATTCCTGCTAGAAGAAGGTCTAACTACAAGAAAATGGCGGACTCAAGTTGAGTCCAACCGAAGAGGTAAAGAAAACAAACAAGACCGATGTATATATATATATAAACAAATATATGTATTAAACAACAAATTTACAAGTGACAAAGACATCAACATTTGTGTTTGTATTTTGATGAATGTTCGTACGTACGTGTATTTGGGTTTCATGGCGTTTTCTCACAAGTGGGCAAAACGCAGATGTGTACGAGAGATCACACTTTTAAACGTGTCCGCTGAAAGGCAAAGTAGAAAAGAAAACGAGGCAAGAATTTTCCAAGTATTTATAATGTAGGGAGAGCGTCCCCTAGTGAACAATTAGGGAATTAAGGTGGAGCTAACTCCGACATATGTATGCGTTCTCATACGTTTGACCACGTCAATAATACCTACTCATATAGCTGTCTGCACTAACATACACTTAGATATCTACATTTAAGCACATACATACATACTCTAGCTGGAAGTGATACTTTAAACTCTACCTATTAAATGCTTAAATTAAGTTATGTACCCTATGTTAAGTATTAGAAAGTCATCTGATCGTATTTGAAATGGACCCACCGTGTTGATATTATAAAAAAAGTATTCCAAATCTATTTTTTACTTGAGAGCTTGCCAACGGAAAACGATCAACTTATGATCAAAAGAAGCATTTTCATTATAAGGCGTATTGATTTTTCACTTTCTTTAGAAAATCAGTATTGCACTTCATACAAAAGAATCGGTTCGATATTTTCTATCTACATACACCAGAATTTCAGATTTATTGCATATAGCAATTTTTTGATCACTTATGTTTAAAGATCGCCTAAGAAAAGTACAGAAAGACTAAATTCCCTCAACTTTTTGTTTAAAAACTGACTTCAAAATTTTATTATTTCAAGAACAAATCCAAATAAAGATATTAGATATTGAGTTGACAGTATATTCAAATAAGATTTCTAATTATAAATCACCCGAAGCAAAATATGCAATTTTCTTTGCTGTATTCGATAAGTGAAACTAAAAATTTTAAATGATTACAGAAGATGCTTATCAATGCATAAAAGATCTTACACCATTTCTAATGAATAAAAACTAAACAATAAAAGTGTTTATAACACAGTAATAGTGCCAGGCATAAATTAAAAGACAAATTGTTTTAAATTTGTATTGTTTATTGAAAATGAGACTAAAATTACAACATTGTATAACCTATTACATTATAATATAGCTAAATTGTTCAGTATATTTTCCCTTTGAAGTAAATGATGGTTCCATTTGATGACACAATGATTTAGCAATAATGTGATTGTCCATGGCACATTTTCCACATACAATTTGTAAAAATTAATTAAATTATGAATTATACTGTTAAAGAACCTAAAGTAAACAGTGTCAAATTAAAATCAGTTTTTACCAATTTTTGATCATTTAGCTTTAAAGATCGTCTGAAAAATACAAACCAGTATTAATTATTATTCACCACAAGTAAAATATGCAATTTCTTTACTGTGTTCTATAAGTAAAACCTGTGTAAAAAAAAATTGTAAAAGGTTACAAAAGGGCTGCCGAGTGGATAAGATTTGTTAGATCATTTAATAGATCATAATTAATATAAACAAAAAAGTAAAAGTGTATATCACACAATAACATCGCTGAAGATACATTATAAGACAAAATGTTTTAAATTTGTATTTTTTATTGAAAACCACATACAACTACAACACCAAAACATATTACATCATAACATAGCTAAATGTTTCAGTCTAATTTCTCTTTGAAATAAATGAAAGGTCTTATTTGATGGCAAATAATTTAGTAATAATGTGCTTGCGCTTTGCTACTTGTCCATATACAATTTGTGTCCATATATAATGTGCGAAGCTTCAGTAGTTAATTTAACTGCCTATTTCACACCTTCTAAATGTTCAGGTAAATTTGGCAACTCCAGTGTTTTGCCATTCATTAGAACTTCTTACAGTTCATTATTTGAAAAACTTCTGCAGGCGAAAGTTCACACATTCCATTTTTAAGAGGTTAATCAAATTTAGCCAGAGCTGAATGTATTTTTTAATCACTTCTCTGGCGCCTCGCTACTCCTGAAACAAAATATATTTTTGTGCTATAATACTTTGATAAAACATTCTGTATTTCAGCCGACTGTCAATTTATTTTATTCTCTGGATCATATTGAAGACATACACTTCTTAGTTATAGAATTTATTACTCCTTTTAATTTCAAACCAAGTAAATACATATATTTCAATTATAATATTAACACTTCCGTTGCTAACTACGGAGATGTTCGTTTTTCTTATCTTGCTACAACTGGCTAAGAACGGAAACCTACGTTTTTTGTTTGAAAAAAGATGAAAAAAGGAAGGAGCGAAGACGAATAGATAAAGAGGAAAGAAAGATAAGTTAATGTGCGGATGAACGACATTAACAACCAAAAAAAAAAAAAAAGGGCGGAGGAAAATCTGATAAGAAAGTAAAAAGAAGAGGAAAATGTAGAAGAAAAGTAGAGGAATAAAAATAAAAAGAAGAGGCAAAAAACGAAAAAAAGAAAGAGAGAAAAAAAGGAAGAAAGAATAGAAAAAAAGGAAATGAAAGAGAAAAATGAGCAACGAGAGAAAAAAAAAGTTATGAGAAAAAGAGGCTTAAATTAAAATAAACCAAAAATGGTGAAAGAAAAAATAAATAAATGAAGAGAAAAGAAAAAATGAAGAGAAAAGAAAAAAATGAAAATAAAGAAAGCATAAAAGAAAACAGAGTGAACAAAAGAAAAGAAAATGAGTAAAATAAACAATTTTACAGAGAGCGGCAGAAATATATCCTATAAAATACCCACCCCCAAAATGACCCCCCATAATGGTAAGAAATTATCTCGATGAAGATACCATTTTCACTAATATCTTATAATTATTTCTGGGATGTAAATCTGGGAGATATTTTCTACCGCATTCTACACATCAAAAAAGAGAAAAAATAAATAGATAGGTGTGAAAAGGCATGAATAGATAGATAGATAGATAGATAGATAGATAGATAGAAAATGAACAGGCAAAGATAGATAGATAGATAGATAGATAGATAGATATGAACAGGCAATGAGAGATAGATAGATAGATAGATAGATAGATAGATAGAAAATGAAAAGGCATAGATAGATAGATAGATAGATAGATAGATAGATAGATAGATAGATATGAACATGCAATGATAGATAGATATAAACAGGCAAAGATACAAAGATAGATAGATAGATACAAAATGAACAGGCAAAGATAGATAGATAGATAGATAGATAGATAGATAGATAGATAGATAGATAGATAGATATGAACAGCCAAAGATAGATAGATAGATATGAACAGGCAATGATAGATAGATAGATATGAATAGGCAGAGATAGATAGAAAGAAAGAAAGAATTCAAGTGTAAGAAAGAAAAGAATGAACATTTCTGCTCCTGTCATCATACATGAAATAACAGTAATTTCAAGTCTGTCTGCATGTTACATTTTACCTTGTGTCCTTTTCAGTTGCTGGCTTCCATCTCCTTGCAAATTTTCATTCGTCCAACTTCCGTTTCGCATTTCTGTCATATGACCAACTCTCTAGTTCGTTTCGTTCCCATGGTTACATTCTAAACCTTCGGCAATTGTCATCCCAATAAAAAAGACAGAAAAATAGAGAGAGAGAAGGAGAGAGAGAGAGAGAGAGAGAGAGAGGAGGTAATCTTTCTTGAAATAAAGAGAAAATAGAAAGTTCTCAATCCAACATTACGAATTCGTTCCTTCAATCAAATTAGATAAGAAAGAAGATAGTTGGACATTATGCCTATAAAATGAGGCAATAAAATTGAATCTTCAGAAAGTTAAAAACAAAAAAAAAGAGAAATACATTTGGGAAACAGCGAACACAACTGCACTTTTTAAAATTCTGATTTATTTCGTGCTAAACCATAATAAAACAGAGAGATTAGATTTCTCTCATTCCCAATGTGATTTTCTACCAAATCATTAAATATCATACACAACTGTTACACTAGATTTTTTAAAGAAATTTCCTCTTATATATTTATATTTCTGCCATTCCTCCATTTATTGAATATTGCAATCACAAGTAATCAGATGTTTCTGCTATGTATATAGATTCTTAATAAAATCCAATGAAGAATCTGAAATGTTATTGGTCCTCATCTGGCATCTCAGCTTCGCTCACTTTCCCACTGGTGTAGCTTCGCAATGACTTTCTTATAAATATTTTCGTGGAAATTCTTTTGATGAGCTTTCCTCTTTGGTGTCTAAATTTCAAGAATTTAAGCCTACTATTAGATAGGCGTTTAGCTCTCATTATATTACTGTTGAAATGGCTAGATGTAACCGTGAGTTCTATGCTAATAGTATCTTCCCTCACATTTCTCGCTTCTGGCCTCTTGCTTTCCAGTCAACTTTGATCTTCAAAAATAAAAATGCAATGTCAATGCTTATGTTCTACTGATTAATTCATATTCTTTTTATTGTTCTTTATCATTAATAATGTGTTCTTTCTTTTTTATACCCTCTCGAATTCAGTAACCTCTTGCGCGTCCTGGCAATGATGATAAAATAAATCTATCAGCAAGACTTCTAATCGGTGGCTTTTTAGGAGCTTGGAACCACATTTTAAATGCTATTCTTCCCAGGGTCAAAAATGTATAAAAGTATAAAAATAGATATTTATAGTAAAAATACCAGTAATAGTTTATAAAAATACAAGAAATACATTTCTGAAATGAAAAGCAATACATTTTCGAAAAAAAAAAAAAAAACATTACCAGCTATACATTTGATTCTCGACAAAAACTCTCTTTACAAAAATACATCAATAAAAACTGATTCCTTACAAAGAATATGTATTCTATTCATACGATCCTATCCTAAAAATCTTGCCGGTTTTAAAAACAGGAAAAAATAGCTAGCTAGCTAGCTAGATATATATTTATTATGAACAGGTAAAGATAGATAGCTATGAACCGGCATAGATAGATAGATACATCGATAGATAGATAGATATGAAGAGCCAAAGATAGATAGATAGATAGATAGATAGATAGATAGATAGATAGATAGATATGAACAGGTAATGATAGATAGATAGATAGATAGATAGATAGATAGATAGATAGATAGATAGATAGATGAAGCATAAAGAACACAAACACACACACACACACACACACACACACATAGATAGATATATATATATATATATATATATATATATATATGTATAGATAGATAGATAGATATGATATGAACACACACATGATAGATATATATATATATATATATAGATATAGATAGATAGAACAGGTAGATATAGACATAGATAGATAGAGAAAAATTTCTTTTCTTTTTAGTTGATATTCCGTAAAACAAAATAAACCAAGTGAACTCAGTAACCCCTTGCACAAATGGTGTCAAATAAGTAAAAGACGAGTATCTCCAATGTTTCTGTGATTATTATGGATTTAAAGCATAAAATTTCGAAAAACATCATAAATGATCCGAAGAACTTTAATCAAAGGCTAATCTCTGCCGTGGCATCTTCCAACAATTGCAAATGTCTATCCGGAAATGAAATTTCTATACATCTTTGGCTGTGAATTTTTGGGGTTTCTGCTGATAATTACAATTCGAAGATGGAATATTTTATTTAAAAAGCTATTTTTCTCCTTTTCTAATTAGTATTAACAATTTTCTAGAACTAATATGCCTGATGTTTTTTATAATTAACAAAAAGTCTGTTCATTAAAATATGTGTTATGTAAAATATTAAAAAAAAATCTTACATCTAGAAAATATGGAAAATTATAGCCAAATTCTATCAAATATATCATGTTAAATAATGTTCATATTAATCTACTTTCTATCTCCGTATATATATATATATATATATATATATATATATATATATATATATATATATATATATATATATTATGAAATGAACAAAGTCCGACAATTATTTTAAGATATTTTTATGTTTATACATTCTTTTTATAGATACAAATATTTAAGTAAATGCTCTGTTTATAATATATATATGTCCTTTCATTATCTACTAGCAGTAGAGAATAACAGTAAAATCAAGTATCGACCATCATAAAGATTATTAAGGTTGACGGACACGCACGCATGTGTTAATTAGATTTTTTTGTTTTGTTTTGTTTTTTTTTTCAAACCCGAACTCAAACAAAAACATTGTTTTCAATCGTTATGAGTCTACCGATTGAATAAAATTTTATTATAAACAATTGTCTTGTAAATGGAATTTTTAAAGCATTCTGAATGTAAAAATAAAGAAAAAAGTGTGCAAGACAATAAGAAACACTGCCTCCCCCCCCCCAAATGAAGTTTTGTTGACATCGGTTGAAAAATGTAGGAAATCCGATCCTATATATAAACGAACACACACACACACACACACACACACACACACACACACACACACACACACACACACAAACAAACACCCTGGGTTTTATAATAAGTATAACTCGATATGAGTTGTCCCCCTTTCATTCTCGCGATGCCTCTTAATCGCGTTTTCAAATGGATTTCGTGCAAAAACAATTGTGGTTTTCCACTTTTTGGCGCTGTCAGAACCACCGCAAGGTAATTTTACGTAGTCCTATGAAGTTTTGTGGAAATACGGTTGAAAAATGTAGGAAATCCGATCCAATATATAAACATACAGACACACACAACCTGGGTTTTATAATAAGTATGAATCATCTATCTTAGTCTATTCGTATCTATCTATCTATCTATCTATCTATCTATGCCTTTTCATGTCTATCTCTGTTCATATCTATCTTAATCTATTCACATCTCTCTCTCTCTCTCTCTCTCTGTCTCTATGCTTTTCATATCTATCTCTGTTCATATCTAAGTTTATTCGCATCTATCTATCTATCTATCTATCTATCTATCTAAATCAGTCGATGTCTATCTTTATAATTATTGCAAAACTAGTGAGAAACCTTTTGCCACATTTTAGTCATGGCGAATATTTGCGCAAACCGTTAAGATATTCTGGTCGATTACAGTATTTTTTTCACATTTGTATGTTTAACTATTTTGTGAACTCATGCAAAAACTCTTGCATTAACATACATTTTCTGTATGTCAGTCCAAAAGTAATGTGTATTCTTCTTTAATTACAACACATATGTAACAATATCTCACGGCTTTGCTATTTGAATTTTTTGATGAATCTTAATTCCTAAGTTAATGATTGAATAAGCTCACTGCCGTAGAAACTCCGCTGTCTCGTTAAATATTTACACTGAACAGCTTTAACAGAATATTGCAATAACAATCGTAAATATGAATGATGCTCGTTATTTTAAGAAGTAAGAAGGTACAATTGAAAAGATTTCAAACTGACATCTGAAGGAGACATAAAGCATTTCTTTCATTCTTTCACTGAAATTCACATCTCCGATATCTATTTCCGTTTTTCTAAGATATCAAAATGGAATAGCACGTTATTTATAAGGCAGTGACAGGAGACGTTAAAAACCTCTTTCTTTCTTTCTTTCCTCCCTTCAATTTTCTATGTTTCTTTGTTTTATTTTCTCAATGAAACCAAGTAGCGTCTCTGTTATATTTTTTTTGTTTTCCCATGCGATAAAAAATAGGCCATTATTGATGAAGTAGTGGCAGTAGATGCTAAAGACTCATACCTTCCCTTTTATGTTTGTTTGTAGTTTCTTTCTTTTTTTTCTCAGCGAAACAAAGTAGCGTCACTGATATGTCTTTTCTGTGTTTCCACGTGATCAAAACGGAATAGTCCATTATTTATTAGGTATTGACAGGACGTAACGGTCGTGCAAACTAATAGAAGGGCAAGCGGAAATAAAATCAAATCGTAGATCCATACGAATATAAAAATGTTTGTAATCGTTAAACTAATTTCCTCTTCCCTCAGTTGAGGTACATTACACGTTTTAATGCCTTAACGAAAAATTTGAAATTATTAGATTTAAAAACAAGGCTGATCTCTTAAATCAAAGATATGAACTTACAGTTAATTGTAAACACCGTTATAAATTTAAGTTAGTGTAGGTGCCGTATACTTTAAATGATAATGATATGTCGCTGTAATTTTAATAGATTAGTATTTTTATTGCATGATGGTCATACTGACGAAATGTGTATTGCTTACCTACATAGTGTTATTAGTGTTGGTGTATATGTGTATATATTTATTTATGTGTAGGTTAGAGTGTTTGCACTGAGGAATGTGTAGGTTTGAATATAAGTGTATTTATATGTGTTATTTATATATATATATATATATATATATATATATATATATATATATGTGTGTGTGTGTGTGTGTATGTATATATATGTGTGTATATATATATATATATAATGTGGGAGGGTATGGTAGATAAGAAGAGAAAAGGTTAAAAATTGTTGATGTATATGTGTGTGTGTATATATGTATGTTTGTGTGTGTATAGGTGTGTATATGTGTGTATGTGTGTATATGTATATATATGTGTATATATATATATATGTATATATGTGTATATATATGTTTGTATATGTGTATGTGTATGTATGTGTGAGTATGTATATATATATATATGTATATGTGTATATATGAGCACCCCGAGGCGGTATAATGGTTGGCAAGCTTGGTTCGCTAGATCAATTGCGACTGAGTAGTGAGTTCGTTCCTCACTGGGTGCCCCCTAATTTCGGCTTTGTGCCACGATATATTTGTATATATATATGTATGTGTGTCTGTGTATGTGTGTATGTATGTGTATATCTATATATGTGTGTGTATATATGTATATATCTGTATGTGTCCTATTTTATTGTGTATGTATATTTATATTTAAGTATATTTCTGTTTGTATGAATGTGTTTATATATTTCTATGTTAGGGTATATGTATATTGGTGTGTGCTGGTATTTGAATGTATATTTATATATGTACATGGAAGTACGTTTATATATGTATTTGGTTGAGTGTTGCTGTATTCATACGTATGCATGTATATATTGGTACTTGTTATTATAGATAGATATATTTATATATATGTTTATTTGTAGATATGTATGTATGTGTCTATATATATTTATGTATGTTTGTGGATGTATATGTGTGTGTTGACACCTATTATGTATGAGTTTGTTTGTGTGTATGTGTGGTATGGAAACTTTGGTATGTCATTACTGCCACAGTAGTTAGTCTATGTGTGTATATATGTTCATATATGTATTGGTGCATGTATGTATATTGGGGCATATTTTTATATATGTGAGTATGTGTGCATAAAAATGTGTGTATATATGTGTGTATTTATGTTTATATGTATATGTGTGTGTATGTGTACTTGTTATCATAGATATGTATATGTGCGTATATGTTTATGTTTATTTATTTATATGTATGTATTTCTGTATGTATATGTATGTATGTGTGTATGTTTATGTGTGTTAATTTGTGTTTGCTGCCGCATGTATATATATGTATATGCGTATGACTACACTTATTTCTGTGGGTTTCTTTATCCTGTTTTTCTTCGCCTAATATATATTGAAACTATTATCAACTTATATGATTAAAATATATTTTTATTGATATTTGTGGTTTTGGAATTTTTGTTTTAATATATTAAATAATATTATTTTTAACCATTTTTATCTTTGTATATTTGCTCCCTTAAGTTATAATTTAATAAGTGGTTAGCATTTATTTAATGATACTTTAAGTCTTAAATATTTATTGGGTGTGTTATCTGATTGTCTAGGTCATTGTCTGTGGATGTGTGTACGTGTAACTATCGGTGTCTATGTGTATGTAGAGTGCATTCACATTTAATTGTGTGTGTGTATAGGTGTTGGTTTCTCCGTTTCCTTTTTTCATAAAGGGTTGTAGTGATGTTCCTGTCTCGTCGCTTTTTGTGTGTGTGTGTGTGTATATATATATATATATATCTAAATATGTCTGGGTGCTTATGTATTATAATCTGATTGTGTTTTTGTTGTTTTGCGCGTGAGTTTAAGACCACATTCACACACTTTAGAATAAAAATATATATACATGTATTGTCAAATGACCGGATATATTGTAGCGTCTTGTCGAACGTAATTTCAACGAAGAAATAAATTGAATAACATATGTATTTTTTCTTTTCTCAATAATTTTGTAGTTTTTAAACTTATTAGTGATTAAATTTGGATTTTAAAATTGCCAGTTTTTAATTTTAATATTAAAATTTATATAATTTTATAATTATTGGTTAGTATAAATTATTTTTAATATTACCCGTATTTTAAAGACCTGAATAGCTATTATAACATGATTTCGTTGTCAATCTTTTCAATCTTTCTATACTTGGTTTTTGATTGGTTATTCTAGCTTTTGTAACAATGTTTCCCCCTAGTGTAGGATCGTTAATTAATCTGAGACTTTTAAAACCATTTATTTTATCTTCATCATCATCACTTAATAAGACACCGAGGGTGTTGAAACAAAATGGCTATTTTTGTAGTGATTTTATAACATACTTATGTTATAATTTTTTTATAAATAATAATTATATCTTCTCTACTTTGTATTGAGCACTCTTTTAAGAATAGTAATTGTTGGTTATTGGAATGCATTCCGTATATACCAATTGTATATATATATATATATATATATATATATATATATATATATATATATATATATATGATAGCTAGCCACTCGAATACGAGTGGTCAGCTATTATGCTAGGGCGGCTAACCAATCCCTATTGTAGACTCTCGTTCAGTCACATTTGTGTTGGTTCAAAACCCACAGAGCCAACCTGTTGTTTATACTGCATCTATGCTGATCAGAGTTAGTTACAGTTTCAAGGAGAGAGCGTGTTATTTAGAATGATCGATAGTCTGAAAACACCAGCACATTCATACCCTCGGACACGATGACTTATGACTTCGTGCACCGCTATCGAAGGCTCTACATGTTCCGTCTACCCTATTTCACTCCTACAAGGCTTTGGATCATATATATATATATATATATATATATATATATATATATATATATATATATATATATACACACACACACACATATATATATATATATATATTATAAATTAGCTGATTTAAAATATGTTTTTTTCGCTACACAGTTCTAGCCATGTTTCAAAAATGAAAGCTAAAATTTCGAATTTAATTTTGTAATTAAATTAAAGACATTAGTTCCATTTCATCCTCAAGTGAATAATTTTTAATAGGATCCTCTCATAATTACGGAGAATTTTCTTAGTATGCTTATTAAAGGAAGAAACCAAATTACCAAGTTGATGCATATTCATTTTATTCCGAGTACTTTCGACATTAGCACAATGTCGTCAGCACAATCTTGTTTTTTTATAAGAAAATTTTAATTTCCACATGAACACAAGAATTTCTTTTTAGGAAAATGATAAGGACAATAATTTTTTTTGTCTTGGAAAAACCAAAAAGCTTATGACGATATCAGAAGAGACAATTAAAAATCGGTTATATTGTATAATGTTCAACACAAATGAACTTGAATTGCTAAGGTTAAATTTCTTCAGCATACCCCAATATCTGAGCTCTATGAAACTTAACAGTTTTAAAACGGAATGAAACCCTAAATGCTCATCTATATATCCAGCAGCTGCAATGTGTCCATAAAGATTTGGTGGAAAAACGACACCCGGCTGTCAATAGAAAAACGTATTTGTTCTCCTGTAGCATGACGACACAAGGCCGCATACAGCAGGAATAATACAAGGAAAATATGGAATGCAGATATTATTTCCGTCCACCATATTCACCTGATCTTGCACAAATCAATAGTTACCCTATTTCGATATCTGTAAAATGCAGGAAAACCTTCTCCAATGAAAAAAAAAATCAAAACCTGTGTAAAAGTTATAAAAGAGATGCCTGTTAAATAGAAGTTGGTCATTCAAAATAATGGCGAAGACAGAAGGGAATAAAATTTAATGATATTCTATTACTGAAGATTAAAGTTTAATACAAACATGGAACTTGAGACGAATACGTCATTTATTTGCGTTTGTAGGAAGTCTTGTACAGTTGTTGATCACGTGCTTTCTGCAATTCTTGTAATCATTAACGAACTGAAAGACTATAATGGATGAAGATAAAAGCACTGATTATAAATGTTAGTTGCTTTGTAAATATCAGTTTTAAATGTCGGCATTATGGCATGTTTACGCTAAGATGGGGTCACGCATGGGCAACACGAAAGTGAGGCTTTTACTAGGCAGATTACGTCAATCCACATATAAAATACATAAAAAATCATACTTCTCTGATTGAAGAAGGAATTAATCAGGGTGGCTCCCTTCATTTTAATAAGAACTTTAAGAAAGAATTTACATATGTCAATTGCTTATCTATCTACATAACTCTCCCAGTTTTTAATATCTATCTATCTATCTATCTATCTATCTATCTATCTATCTATCTATATCAATTTGTTCATATCTATCTATCTATCTATCTATCTATCTATCTATCTATCATCAGTTTGTTCATATCTATCTATCTATCTATCTATCTATCTATCTATCTATCTACGTATATATATATATATATATATATATATATATATATACATATATATATATCAGTTTGTTTAAATCTATCTATGTTTTTTGTATATCTATCTATCAGTTTGTTCATATCTATCTATCTATCTATCTATCTATCTATCTATCTATGTTTTTTGTAATATCTATCTATCTATCTATCTATCTATCTATCTATCTATGTTTTTAACATCTATCTATCTATCTATCTATCTATCAGTTTGTTCATCTATCTATCTATCTATCTATCTATGTTTTTTCATATCTATCTATCTATCTATCTATCATTTATCATATCTATCTATCTATCTATATATATATATATATATATATATATATATATATATCAGTTTGTTTAAATCTATCTATCTATGTTTTTGTAATATCTATCAGTTTGTTCATATCTATCTATCTATCTATCTATCTATCTATCTATCTATCTATCTATGTTTTTTAACATCCTATCTATCTATCTATCTATCTATCTATCTATCTATCTATGTTTTTTTAATAGCTATCTATCTATCTATCTATCTATCTATCTATCTATCTATCTATGTTTTTAACATCTATCTATCTATCTATCTATCTATCTATCTATCTATCTATCTATGTTTTTAACATCTATCTATCTATCTATCTATCTATCTATCTATCTATCTATCTATCTTTTTTTTTAATAGCTATCTATCTATCTATCTATCTATCTATGTTTTTTAATATCTATCTATCTATCTATCTATCTATCTATCTATCTATCTATCTCTGTTTCATATATCTTGCTGTTGATCTAAGCTTTCTTTCTTTCCTCTTTTCCTGTACTAAGTCTTATCTGTTTTTTGGTGTGAGTTCGGATGCAAAGAGCCGTCTGTGGAATGGATTCTTCGTCTCGCTGTATGACTCCATAAAACACAAATGCATTAATAGACCAATATCTTTTATAAATATGTCGAACAACACCGAGTTAGCCGGATGTGGGAGTTCATTTACGAAGAGAAAAGACCAAAATCGATGAATGCGATAAGCGGCAAGCCATAAAATTTATCTCATTTTCCTTTAAAAAGACCGAAAGATGGTCAAACTCTGTAAATTGTGGATCAGTGTAGGACGCATACCGCAGTGCTTTGGTTGATTATTTACCCTTCCATAGCAGTTCCCCTGTGTAACGTATTCGACACACCCACTCAATCTTAACTACGCTATACAGAGCTAAGCTTAATAAACAGATGTGTTCATATATGTGTAGAGACTGTAACGCTTATTTGTGCGTACAAAGAAATTTGAGAGTTTCAATTCCTCGTCTGTTGTGTTCCTTCTGGCAAAAATGCCCTCTTGCAATCTCTACCTCCTCAAATTAAAGGGCAGACAGCGATTTCTTGCCGTGAGTATAAACGAGTCTAGGAGAAAGAAAATTTGGGATGTTTCACGACATGATGCCATGCCCCCTCCCCCCAAAAAATATAATCTCACACATGCATTAATTCATAGTAACACACACGCACATGCTATCTCTATCTCTTACACGTCACACACACACACACACACCCACCCCCCACATATATATATATTTTAAATGCAAACAGACCACTTTAAGGTTCCATGTAATAAATTATTTCACCACAGCCCTTTTAAAGGACTGCGGATCATCAGACTTTACTTCCAAACAAAAAATGAAAAGAAAATTTACACATTTTTGACGGGCCGTATTAAACATATGTAAATTAACGAAGTCAGGAAGTGAGAGGGGAGGGAGAAGACATGAGTGAATTAGCAGACATTGACACATTTAAACGGTTAAGCTCTCTGGATTTTATCCTCCTTAGGTTTACCCATACGGATTACCTAGTTTTTCATAAACTATATATATATATATATATATATATATATATATATATATATATATATATATATATATATATATAATATTACCCACAATACACCACTGACTCATATATAAATAGTCGAGGAAATATCCAACATACATTCGCTGCCTAACGATTGCGTCTAGCATGAAACAGCCTGTCGCCTGTGAGTGGTCATTTTTTATTTATATATACTTACATACGCTTTATCCCTGATATTGACCACTTTATCCCATAAATATAGAACACCATAAAACTATATTTCTTCACACACACACACACACACACACACATATATATATATATATATATATATATATATATATATATCGGAAAGGCTTTCCTTCCAAATAAGCAACAAGCGACAAAAATGCTTTATAAACAAACAGATCCGTTAACTTTTCCGTTATATTTTCCCGTTATCTATCTATCTATCTATCTATACAAAAATATCTGTACAAAAAATAAATATGTGATTGCAATTCTGATTTTCAAGCTAGATGTAATATTCTCATTCCGAAGCCTTCCGAAGCCTCTCGAAGCGCAATTTCTTTGACGGACATAATTTTCATGGCTAATTCTGTTAAAAGCATAAGTTATGATGATTAATATAAAATGAATTTGAATGAAGTTTCAAGTTATCTGTTGATATCATTTATGATGTTTTTTATATTGATGATGAGAATGAAAACACGATGCCTTTCCATCATTTTCTGGTGTGGGGAGATCTGAGACTTTAACAAAGCTATATGGATGGCTGGAAGGCTTTAGGTCCATCACTTTTGCTGGAACAGAAAACTAAACAAAAGACTGACTTTTTCGTTTCGGAATCAATCTTTGCTATTCTGAGCTGTATTCTTGCTCCCAAGTATTGTTGTTAATTCATATCAGAAGAATTATTTTGTTTAAATTTTCAGTATACGAAACATTAGCTTTTCAAATTGTATATAAATCTTGTATACTTAAAAGGTCTCCAGATATTATTTAGGAAAGTAAGTACAAATGAAAAGCCAATATATGTGTATTTTAAATCAAAGTATAAAATGTTTTCAGTAAGATAATATGTATAATAAGAAAATGATCAGATGAAAAATCATACCACCAGGAGTTGAATATCTTAATTTTAACATCTGAATTAGCGCTTCCCGCCACTATTAAGAATTATTATTGTGCATGGGAAATTGAGTCTAATTTGCTATTCAATGAAAATGCCAATTGAATATATTTGCAATCATTGTTCAATTAAAGATGAATATTTAAAGCCTTCTTCTTGTGACCTGCATTTTGTTTTGGTTGGATTCAAGCAAAGAACTTGCAAATTACTTTTTTTTCAATGAAAAAGGAGAATCACTGATATACAATTTTGCTATCTTAATTTCTAAGAGAAGTTGATGATATATTGGTTAATTAAGAGCAGTTTATTTATCTTTGTTGTTTTTATACCGCCGTTTCTGCATCTAGAGGAATAGATGTCTATTGCCTTCGGCAAATATTGTATATGACGGAAGGCGTTTATTTTATAGCATTTGAACGGCTTTCCATAAGCGTCTTCCTGAATAGAAATCTCCATAGTAAAACCGAGGATACCGCCTAAGAGACATGACGTGTTTCAACGCTTAAAGAATTGTAAATGATGAGCCCTGTACCACCAGACTTTCCGAACTCTTGAATGATTCCGCGTGTCCTGTTTACAAAGAATCCTTTGGCTACATTCGGAGGTGCCATGTGCCGAAATTCAGAAGCCTTCATAACTAATAACCATGCTAGTCCATCAACAGCTACGTTGGGCTGTTAAAGTAATTTCCATCTCTGAGAACTTAATTCAACGATGCATGTTGAAAAGCCGTCAATGATCAGGTACACCTGCTACAGGATTACGGTAGAGACATCCTGAAGACATAGACTAAGTTCCCATGACAGTTAGGAAGGTTGACTGGCTACGCGTCTGTATGGACGCTGTTCAAACCACAGAAGCAAGCTTGAAAGTGGAATGCAGTCGAAGCAATCACCCGAAAATTCTTCCTCTACTACCATCCATGTTTTTTTTTCATATACCTTTGACTTATATATGCTGATCATAATACTTCACAATATCTTGTCTTTAGTTTTTAGTACATTTTGTCTATTTCTTATCTCTTCTTTACTTAAGTCGCGGCGTTGTAATGTTTAGTGACTCGGATTGAGGAATCGGAGAGCCGAGTTCGAATTCCAGTTGAGTTCATTAAATTCACTTACATGCTAATGACCCGTGAGAAAGGTATGAATCCGACTCTTCTCCTACCCCAAGCTATGGGTAAATAGTAGGTCAGATTGGGTTCTAGAACCTTGGATGATAACCGGTCTAGGAGACTGACAATTCGGAATTTTAAATTCTAAGACCCGAGGACCCCGTGTACGGGCCGAGGGTGACAGGTGCCATATCCCCTGATCTTTAGCTGTCGGTGAAAAGCTTTTGAAGAAGACTGGCGTCTCCAAGTTATCTGAAAGCATCGTGAGTAAGAATCAATCTGTTTCTTATAACGATTTATTTTTTTATAACGATTAATGCAATTTTAGAGTTAAAAAATTGTTCCGTCATTCATTTTAGTTAGGTAGATTATGTCTTGTTTTCCTCTGTCTCTTTTGGCTTATATGTGCCCTATGAGGATCACATTTTCCAAGCCGTCTTTCCTCATTATATATCCTAGAAATTTCAATTGTCTTTTCCTGATGTTATGTATTAGTTTACGTTTTGTTTCGATTTTCTCTCAAACTTGGTCGTTGCCAACGTCTACAGCCCATGATATTCTCAGCATCTTTCTGTAGAACCACTTTTTATTTGCGAAGAGATTGTCCAGTATATGACAATATATATGAGGAAAACAGGCCGAACGATGTAGTGTAAATAGCTGCAATGGCTCATCTCAGAAATATAGATAGATTTCATTACTTATTTGAAGCTTTGGATTAACATAATCTGTGACCGAAGTTGTTATTCATTTAATAAAAGCGTCATAATATGTCAGGATAAAGAAATCAAGACAAGAAATAGATTAAACTTGAAAGTCACGTGTTAAACTGGTTTCTATTACTCCTATTTATTTATATTTCCCTTACTAAATATTAAGAACATAACGTGGTGTGTATTTCTGGGGAAAGCTGTGAAATGCTTTGAGGCCATTTAAAAAAAAAAATCATGCAATCGTGAAATATTTTGTACTTCCTGTCACCGTGAGAACATACATGTGCAATTTCTCTTCTTGGTAGAATGACATTTTAAATGCTTCTAATTAAATTATAGAAATAATAAATACACCGAAAAGTGTTTTGAGAACGACAATAACATTTTTACGTTGAATTAAAAAAAAAATTATAAAAGTGGTCGCGAATGTTTCAGGAGTGCATATTTTTTAAAAATTACAAATGGAATAAACAAAAAGTACAAACACGCGATCCCTACTGGATATAGGCAACATGCATAAATAGTTTAAAAATGTAATTTTTGTAGGAAAACCTCTGGAAATAGATGCACACATAAATACATATGTATATATGCACACAGACAAACTCACACATATGCATAGATACATACGTATGTGGCTTAGGGCCACATCACCGGTTCTCGTACAATTATCGATGGGTTATGTCGAGCTTGGTCAGTACCTAGATAAGTAAACGCGTGGGAATCCCAGGTGTTGTAAGCATTATGTGGGAGTTATGTAATGAAAAATGGCTCAAAATAGAAAATCATAGAGTCGTGTTTCAATTCCAGTTGGGTTCTTTATATTCATTTACGCGCAAATACTCTTGAATTCACTTATTCTAACCCCCAACTATGGGTAAATTAGTAAGACTTGTATACCTAAGCATTTATTATCTAAAAAAAAAACAACTTATCATGGTGGATGTACTGTAAGGGAAGGGAGCAGAAAAACAACAACTAATAAACTATTCAGGTAACAGGTGACACAAAAGGTATTTCAGATTACTCCAACATCTTCTAATTAACTCTAATTTATTATTTAGCATTCGGTTAGTATTGCAAATTTTCTTCAAGTCAAAGCCTACATGTTTTAAGGTAGACGTGTTACAGTCATGGGTATATAAAGCTAGAATCCCCTCTTCTGAAGATCGCGAAAGCTTGAAACTTGAGTAAAGACTCGTACTGTCCTTATATATATATATATATATATATATATATATATATATATATATATATATATATATATATCCCCGTGAGCCTTCCCTTTGTAAACAGAGGGAATGCTTACTGTGTCTGAATGTTATTGGACTCTAGTTTGTAAAAAAAAATCATTTTTTTCCTCTTCCATTCCATTCGTTAATTTAATTTACACGCTTTTTTAAATTTTCTATTCCCAGAAAAATAAACTTGATGAGTCCTGCGACGAAAACGATTGTTTTTATTTTTAGCTTATTCTTTCAAAAATGCCTTATAAAATTGGTCTTTTCCTAGCTATTAATATATATATATATATATATATATATATATATATATATTAGGACCTTAAATAAATTATCGCGCTGATTTTTCATGAAAATTAATGTTTTTTTTACAAACATTCGTAAGAAACATACCACTGAATTTTCCCATCTTTCTGGCAGCATTTGAATTCCACGTCGGAAAAAACCACACGTCTTTTGAGGCTAACCATGAGTTGACCCATTTTTTGGCATCTTCATAAGAATGAAAATTCTGCTCAGCCAGGCCATGTGTCATCGATCGAAACAAGGGATAATCGGACTTGGCAATGTCTGGTGAATACGTCGGGTCGGGTAGAACTTTCAATTTAAACGTCTCTCTGCTCGTATAGCGGCCGTTTTTATTTCGATGCTCGGCTCAAACGCATGAATTTTAGGCGATAGCGATCTCCCGTAATGGTTTCGGTCTATTTGAGCAGCTCATAGGAAACTACACCCAGCTGATTCCACCAAATGCAGAGCAGAAGCTTCGAACCATGGATATTCGGTTTTGCTGCCGATGTTGATGTATGGCCGATCTTACACTACGATCTTCTTCGCATAGGGTTATCGTAATGTATCCAGTTTATATCGCCGGTCACGATACGTTGAAGCAGCTGTTCACACGTGACAAGACGCCGTTCGACGTTTCTCGGCTTCAACTTGTACGGAATCTAATGTGCTCGCTTTTGAATAATTTCTAATGCTTTCAAACGTTACGAAACTGTTCTTTGATCAACTTCTAATGATTCTGCAAGTTCAGCATGAACCTGACATGAGTCTTCATGAAGTAATGCCTCCAAATCTTCGATTTCAACCTTTTTCGTTGCGCCAGAGCGTTCTTTGACTTGAACATAAAAATCCTTCTTTTTGAAGCGTCTAAAATAATCTCTGAATTTTGTTTTCGGCAGACCATGGTCGCCGTATGACTCAACAAGAATTCTGTTTACTTCAGCGGCAGATTTCTTTTGAATAAAGTAGTAAGTAAAATTCCCCGCAAATACACTTTCTTTGGCACGAAATCCGACATGTTTAGTTATTTAAACTTCGGCGAAATGGTATGCACTGCCTTTTAAAGATTCGTTACCATCTGAGACT